CGGGCCTCTCCCGGGCGCCGAGTCCCTTCCGAGTCGGGATCCGCGCCGCCTTTTCCCGCGGCCCGCACGGGGCCCAGCTGACGGGCCGCGTTGTTTACGGGCCGAGCAGCCCTCGCTCCCGCCGCCCGCCAGGCCAGGTGCCCGCCCGCCTGGCCGCACGTCCGTTTATCCGCGCGTCCGTGTGTTCGCCCGTCCGACGCCCGCGGCCCCCGAGCGCTCGGGGCCGAGAGCCGGGAGACAGGGGCTCAGCGCGGGGCTCCGGGCCCTGCTGAGATCGCGGGACGGGGCCCGGGCCTCAGTGGCTCGGAGTCGGGGCCGCCTCCCCGCGGCCGCGCCGCCCGATCTGTAGCGGCCGAGGCCGCGCGCCCCTCCCGAGGCTGCTCCAAGGGCTCTCCCGGGCGGAGGCTGCGGCCCGCGGGCCGCCGGCGTGGACGAGAAGGACGCGCGGCCCCCAGCGCCTCCCGGGCGGCCGCCGTGGAGCATGTCCCCAGCGGGCCGGCGCCGCGCGCTCTGATCCTCCGGGGCCCCGCGCTCCCGCAGCCATGGGCGCCGGGGGCGGGCGGGGGGCGGCGGCCGTGCCGCTGCTGGTGGCCGTTGCCGCGCTGCTGGTGGGCGCCGCGGGCCACCTGTACCCTGGAGAGGGTGAGTCTGGGGGCGCGGGAGTGGGCGGGGAACAGCGCGGTGGGGAGGGGACCGCTTGCCAAAATGGAACCCCCGCCGTGGACTGAGAACCCTCCTCGGTGGGGGTTGGGGGGCGGGGGGCGGGTGACCGGGACGGTCGCTCCAGCCCCGCGGGGGGGCGGGAAGCCGCTGACCTTGGCCTTTGCCCGCCTGGGCTCGCGGCTCCACGCCCCGCGTGCGGGCCCCGGGCTGGAGGAACCTTGCCCCAGTGCCCGCCTCACGGCGGGCGCCTCTCCCGAGCGCGCCTCGGACCCGTGCCTGGACCTCTCCCAGCCCAGCTGGCTCCGGAGACGCGACACGCGTCCTCTTTGGGTCGTCTCCGAGAAGCGGGGTCACTGGACAGCCTCGGACAGCCAAATGCCTGAGGTGCACACAGTTTGGAGCCAGAGTCGAGGGAGACGGACTGGAGGTCGCCTGGGGGGTCCCAGCTGGTGGGTGTCGCAGCCCGGGGCGGGGAACTGTAGACTCCGCCCCTCCCCTCCTGGTATCTAGCCCCTTGGCTGCTTCTGACTTCAGGTCCGTGTTTACACTTTTGGGTTCTGTTTCCAGATGTCCAGAGGCAAACTCTAGCGCCTTGGCGACAGCACAGTTGTAGCGGTAGTAACTGCGGGCTTTAGGTTGAATCCTCCGAAGTCCACGATGAACAAAATAGCAAAACGTTAAAGACGGGCTTCGTCTTGCTGGCGCGGGCATCTGGGGCTCCCCCCCGCCCCACCCCAGGCTACAGGCTAGTCAGTCTTATTTCTCCGTACCTTTGCAGCGGCGCCTGGAGGCGGATACCGTTGTTCATCCATTTCATAGAGGAGTAAACTGAGGCTCAGGGAGGATACGTAACTCACTTGCCCCAAAGTCAGTGCCGCAGGGAGGACTTGAACCTCTCTGTGTGTGGCGCGGGCTCGAGGCTCTGGACTGCTGCCCACACCCCATGTCTCCTTGATAACCTCCCTGCTCCATTCCGCAGTTTCACCTGTCAGCCCCCAGGGGTCTCCAGCCCGTGGTCAGCCTCTCCCAGCCCCTAGCCCTGGTGGGGCCTCCCTCTTGGGCGTCTCTGCACTGGCAGCAGACCCAGGCAAACCCTAGCATCCTTCTTGGGGTTGACAGCACGTCTTTCTGGCTGTGGGTCAGGGACTGAAGAATCGTTTAAGGGAATGTAGTTGGGGTTTCCCACCATGATGGCTGAGACCCTACTTAAAAAATACCTGTTGGGTGACTTCAGATTTCTCCATAAAAGGAAATCAGTTGTGATGAGGAATGGGTCAGGGAGGGAAAGAAAAGTTCCTGAGTTTGCTGATGGTGATTGAGGTGTGTGAGAAAGTACACAGAGGGTTGTGAGTTGACAAACTGGGTTTGCTGAGCATCTCTGCCAGCTAGGCAATGTCTCCAGGTGCCTGGTATACAATGGGTGCTCCGTGAAGGCAGGGTGGCAGTTGGTTGAGGTTCTTAAGAATACCCCAGACCAGTTGTTAGACCTATGTCATGCTTTGCCTCTGTGTGTGCGCACACCCATGTGTACGTGTGGTTCCCTGCTCATCTGTTCCTTGCAGCTTTGGTAATTAATTGTGGATTTGTGCCTGGGCTTTTGGGGGTCAGTAGATGGATTTACAACTTCATACATGTTTACAGTTTCCACAAGGGTGGAGGCTTATGTTTCTTTCTTTCACTGCTACATTTCCAGAATCTAGAACAGTGACTGACACCTACTAGGTGTTTGATAAATATTTGTTCTTAAGTCAACACCTATCCTTCCTGTTCTCACTAGTTCACCAAGCCACGGATCCTTTATTCTCAAGATAATTCCTAAGTAACCAGAGGGGTATATGGCTCAATGGTAGAGCACTTGCTTAGCATGCATGAGGTCCTAGGTTCAGTCCCCAGCACCTCCACGAAATAAATGTGTAAATAAATAAGTAGACCTAGTCGCCCTGCCCCCAATAAACAAACAAAATAAGAGCGAGCACTCAGCAGGCGCTGTTCTACACACTGTGCGTAGATGACCTCAGTTAATCCTCATCACAGCACTCTGAGGTGAAGTTTATCATCCCTTTCGAAGGTGAGGAAATTCAGCGAGGCAGCAGAGCTGAGATTAGGACCTCAGTTTGGCTGTGGAGCACCGGTTTCTTAATAAAAGGATCTTCTTTTGGACCCGAGCCTCCCCCACCCCAGCCCTGTGGGAAAGGTTAAGAAAATACTACCCAACGAATAACACGTGATGCCTCTGGGGCTCTGGGGAGGGGTGAGAAACTCTACACACCGTTCATCTCCAGTAGCAAGCAGTTCGGCATTTTGCGCTGGGCAGGGGTGGGGGACAGGGGATGGAGGGAAATCAGTGGGAAGTTTTAAGGAATGAGGACTCTCTCGGAGATGTCGTGTGGATGGGCCGCCCGGCTTCATCCTCCCGTGGGGGATCTGTTGCTTTGCTGACCTGGGCAATGGCTTCCTCCTCCGCTCCTGCTCCGGTCGACTGCCTCTGGCCGGAGACTCCCCGGGGCATTGCAGAGAATGAAGGCAAAGTGGGGATTAAGTAAAGTGAAAACTGACCGGGCTTTGGCGGGGGCCATCCAGTGTGTTGGTTAGTTGAGGTGTGAGATGTTCCCAGACCCCCCCTCATTTCTCGAGGTTGGCACGAGAACCGGGACCCTCAGGGCACAGCTTCCGCTCGCTCGGTCACCTCCCTGGGGTTAGTCCAGTCCTTGTCTTTGCTTCTGTACTGGAGACCTGCCTCTCATCCCTGCCCCACTCACTCATAAAGGTCACTGGGGTGAGTCCCCCTGGGGTCCCCTCCTCACCCCACTCCATCAGTGACTTCCATTCTTACTTGGTTAGGGCAGAACCTCTCCGCTTCTGTGTCCTTGCCATTTGGGGTTGGTTAGTTCTTGGTGGCGGGAAGCAGGGGGTGGCGGAGAGCGGTCCTGTGTATTGTGGGATGTTGAGCACCATCCCTGGTCTCTGCTCACTAGATGCCACCTCCCCGTTCCAAATCATCATAACCTAAAGTGTCTTCAGACCTTGCCAACCATCTTGACTTGAGAACCACTGCATTTGGGGAGATAACTATTTCCTTGTCTAGGACACTTACCCACCCGGATCCCCTGCTCTCTCCCCTCTGTTTGTTCAGGGATCTCCATCCACCCAGGAGCCTTATTCTTTTCAGCCCATAAATACTCAATACTCCCCTGAACCTATTATTCACTACCTACCTCTCGCTGTCCCCTGCCAAGCCTGCCCCCGGCCTCCAAGGCCCCCACCACCCTTGCTCTGGCACCTTTTACCCGCTGCTCTGCCCACAGCATCTGGCTTGTGTCTCCATCACTTCCCTGATGGCTCTAGAGAAGCCATCCCTCACCTCCCAGTTGCAGCCTCGCCCCAGTTGACTTCTCTGGGTTTGCCACTCCCCATGGCCTCCCACTGGGAGGGGAGCCTCCCGGTGTGTTGTCCCCTGCGCCTGGCTTTCCCCAGCCTCTCTCTTCTGTTCCTCTGCTCCTTTCCTGGGCTAAGATATTCGCCCCCTCCGCATAGAGGGCCATTCCCTCCTCTGATTCTCTCTCACTTCCTTTTTAATTGATATGCAGCCAACCGTCTTTATCTAGAACAGGGGCCCAGTCCTGCCCGCCCACACCTGTTTTTGTAAATAAAGTTTTGCTGGCACACAGCCATGCCCTACCATTCATGCATCCTCTGTGGCGGCTTTTGTGCCTGATGGCAGAGCTGAAGAGTTGCGATTGTGTGGCTCCCAACAATATTGACACTTGGGCCCTTTCCAGAGAAGGTCTGCCGACTTCTGGTTCAGAACAAACTCCTTGAGGGTCATGATGACGTGCCTAATGGCCCATGTAGTCCTGTACAACTTCGAATGAACCGAGTTGAAGGAACGGCCCAGGGATGCTGTGTCTTCCCCTTACAGAGCGAGCTGCAGCACGTGCCGTGCTGAACATATGGGCTCCGATGGTGAGAAGGTAACAGTGATGCTCCCTCCCTAGGTGTGTGTGCGTGTGTGTATGCGTGTGTGTGTGTGTGATCGTAGTTAAACCATCCTCTTGGCATTGAATGAGGATTCCGTGCTATCGGCTCTGCCTCTGGTACCAAAAGAAAGTGGTGTCTGCTATGAAATGCTCTCCTGAGACCCCTTATGTCAATTTCTGTTGAGAACCTGAGGGTGGCTTGGTTTCTGTTTTGCAGTCGGACTGTGTTTATGGCTTTTAAATTAAAAAGAAAAAAAAGGTAATGCACTCTCATTGCAAAAAATTTACAATAGTATAGAGAGGAAAAAAACCAAAAGTCCTCCTTCAACACTTTGTCCCTAAAACCATTACATTTCTGTCCTGGGAGGTGACTATGCTACCAGTTTGGTGTGTGTCTTTAAACTTTTTTTTTCGAAAATGATCACACAGTAAAGTTGCCTTTTTTTGGGTGCACAGTTTTTGCATTTCAGCCCCCAGCAGAGTTGGGTGGTGGTCCCCACAGCCAGGATGCAGGAGAGTTCCCATCCATCACCACCCAAACTCCTTCCAGCCACCCCCTTATTATGACACCATCCCCACCTCGAACCCCGGCAACGCTGATCCTTGTCCATCCCTGTAGTTTGCTCTAGGCTTCAAGAAGTATCTTAGCATTGGATCAGTATTCTTAAAATTTAAAAAATGTAAATTTCAGTGCTCATACGTTTCTTATTATTCCCGGATTCCATGTTTGTGACTTCGCCTATTCGCTAAAATGTATTTGTAACTCCACCATCAGTATTCAGCGCTTTAGTGGTCATTCCTGGACATGCACCGAGTGGCAAAGACTTAGGATCACCTGACACACATGTTCCAGCTCAGATCAAATAAGGTGACACCCTGCCTTTCTGCTACAAGCAGGATTCATACGGTCTCCAATGTGGATTCATACCATCCCCAAGGATTAAAGCAAGTATCCTCTTTGGCAATGTATTTAGTGCCAGGTTTTGCATATTTTATATGCTT